GTGGTGTTTGCTGCTTTATGCTAACTGTACACTGCTGCAGGATAAATGGGATTATCTCCTTCAGCTGGCTTACCCTGTGGCCCCTTCAGTGCTTGAGGAGATGCTAGGGATGGGCTGGAAACAGGAGGTTCTTGGTAGAACAGGACCTCTCCCTTTCAGGAGCAACCAGGGTTGCATCAGCTGAACTCAGCTGTGAAAGTGCAGAGTGACCATGACACAAAGAGGAGCTATGCTCTCTAAAAGCTTGGATGTTGCTTCTGACTTTCCTCTATGGTCTGTTACTAAAGATGGCAAAAAAAAGTTTTCATTTTCATTTAATTTGAGATAGGAGATACCTACAGAATCTCTTAGCACCCTCAGAAGCCTCTCTGGACTTTAAAGATCAGCAAACAACACCTTCTGGTTGTGGATGTAAAGAAGGAACATTTTTATCAGTGCCAATCTCCTAAGCCACACCATATTTTTTGAAGATGCATTTTTAAAAGTACTCTACATGAGCTGCAGAATGTGCATGCATTTCAAAATTTTAATCTCTTACTGAGGTGAGAAGAAGTGTAAAGACTGGGGTTTTGGAAGATAGAGCAGGGTTGTTGGGGAAATGGAGGAGAATCAAGCCCTTATAGAAATGCAACAAGTCTCTGGTTGAGGGGACAAAATACATTGTTCCTTGAAAGGCCATCCTTTTCTCTAGCTAATTCAAATGAAGAAAAAAAAAAAAACAAAAACCAAACACTCCAACTATCCACATTTTTAAAAGGTGATAAAATGGTAGGATTCTATGCTGGCCAATTTGTTACACTGTGCTGATTTAACCACTGTCTTCTCCAGTTTTATGCCAGTGGTATTTCCCATTAAGTTTGAAGGGTGAGGACCCCATTACTGGGTGTTACCGTGCTGTATTTATTTGGATTGTAAATGCTCTTCTGAATGTTGGGCTTTGGTTATCCTGGAGGTTGAATGCTTTCCTCATTTGATTTGACAGGGACTAATGTTTTATAGTAGATTTTAAAAATGAAGTTCATGTTTTATAGAACAGCATTGATATCTGAAAATAATCATTGACAATGTCCACTGTGCCCTATTGATCGTAGAGCAGTTACTTTTGAAATTTTCCCTTTTATCTGATTAACCATTTTACTTCCAGGAAATAACATTAAATTTTCATATGAAGACACAGAAATTAAGTAAGTTAGCCATTCTAGAACACTACCAATGTAGGAGAAGGTTGGACTTTTTCATCATGGGCTATGGCTTTCTTCTAAGCTATATAGTCTGAAACATTTTTACATGGTAATGCATATTTAAAAAATTTGTTTAACAAAATTGAAGAGGCCATACAGAGACCCAATATGTTTGATGAACCAAAGTATCTTTCTACCAGTAATTTATTAATCTGATACCTTATGGAGTGTTTTTTCCACAAAAAAACCCCAAACAAACAAACAAACCCCCCCCAAAAACTGTGTCCCAAATCAGTTAGAAGGATTAATCTATAAAACTATAAAAAATTAGCAAGGAAGAAGCAAGTAGGGAGAAATAACTTAGAAATATATGATCAACAATTCATAATTAGGTGCTGACAAAACAAATTAACATAGTTGAGAAGTGAGGTATTAGTGCTGTGTTGACTTTAACTGTATGTCATGTAAAGGCATGGAAATAGTAAAGTCACTGACGTTCTGCAGAGTCTGACTTTTAACCTGTTTTTTAATATTTCTATCACAGATATGGAAAACATTTAAATCCGTTACTGATAAGTTAGAGGTAACAAACAGCTGGAGAAATGGTAAAATAGACACTTAGTCACTGATAAAGAGAAGATAGATTCATTAACTGAGCTGGGTTCAGGCACATAATATATTTTTCAGCATATCCAAATAAAATTTTGTATCTTGAAATAATAAATGCACACTATATTTCCATCTTTATTCCAAGAAGCAGTTATCCTTTAATGACAAAACCCTCTTTCCCAAGAACAGGGAATCGCAGTCATCAGTTGAAACTGGACTCATGTTGTTATGCTTTGGCCAAAAGGCCTCATACATCCAAGTGCTGCAGTATCGAGGGTATGTTATCTCTGTGTTTGGCATTGTTCTGGAAAAAGGCTGGAATGCTGGTTTCAGATGGGTGTTCTTCAAGAAGGACATTGAAAACTGGAGACGATTCAGGGTAGGGTTGTAAGAATGATGAAGGAATTGGAAGTGTGCTTCATGGTGAAAGATTCAGAGCTCAGTTTGCTTAGTTTAGCAGAAGTGTGGTTAAGAGATCATTTGATCACAATCTTAACGTATTCATGTGGGGAGCAGAAATGTGATAATAGATAGCTTCTCCATCTACCAAACAGAAGTAAAATAAGAACCAGCAGCTTGAAGTTGAAGTCAGCCAAATTAGTTTGGAAATACGGTGCAAAATTTTAACAGGGAAGGCAGTTAAACTCTGGAACAACTTACCAATAGCTGTGATGCATTTGCAAACACTGGAAATACCATAATTAAGATTGCATATCTTTCTGAAAGACTCACTGTAGCTTAGGAACAAGTGTTAAATGTGAAGTAGAAATTGATGCAGGGGAGCCTGTAATATTCAGGAATCGCAATATTCACATCCTTCCAGGACTCTATTTGCAGTGCAGTATAGTGGTTAATTTCTGCTCATTTTGATTCTGGTTTAACCATTAGGAGAATTTTTAAGGTATTTCTACATGGCACAATGTGGTGCAGGTATCCACGCTGACCCTGAACAAGCTAGGATGGGTACTAAGAGCACCAAAGCTATGCTAGCATGGTTTCCCAACAGGAGAGATATATAGTGCTTTTTAGCAGGGCTGAGATGCTTGTATGCAATGCTTGGTGATCACAGCTGCTTGCTCGCTCTTAACAAGCTCCTACAGGCAAAGAATCCTTGAAGCCCTTGGGAATCATATGTAAAAATAAGGATTTCTCGTATAGGAGAAGCAGGTTTCCAAAATGAGATTTTTTTCCTTTTTTTTCCTTTTTCTTTATTGTTTACATGGGTTCAATTTGAGAACAGATAAATTCAAGCAAGAAAAGTTATCAGTTACTCAGAGCAAGAAACCATATTGGACTCAGGAAACCTGTGATGTGAAAATAGTCGGAGGCTGAGAAATAGTGAAGGAACACATTAAAGACCCTAAGCTTACTCTTTCCTAAACAGCAAATTATCTCCATTGTGGAGACAGGATACTGGACTGCTGGATTACTGGTCTGATCCCATGTGGATTTTCTTACATGCATTCTAACAGTGTCTGTTTCATACTATTAAATTCTGAGAAACCAAATCTGTAACCTTAATGATAACTTGTAATGTTTTGAAGTGTGAACCTCTCGGAACAAATATATGCAAAAGAATCTTTGTTTAAAATAAAAGTAAGAGGATTCTGAAAAAAACCTTTTAAATTGATCAATTGTATCAGGTTTACCATAGCAATTTAAAACTGATTGTATCAGTTTTATCATACCAACTTAAAACTGGAGTGTGCATTTTGTTCGTTTAACTGTCGTTTTAATGTAAGGAACAGATTTATACTGCAGTTAATGCCTCTGCTTTTCAGATACGAGTTTCCATTGCTGGCAAAAGAAATTCAAGAAATCAGCCTACGTAACTGTGGATCACTTTCCAACTGTTGAAATGGCTTTTCCTGTCTTGTTTAGCTCTGAATGTTGTCAAACCACTTCATAGTACAGTATATGGATCATCTTGTTTATAAGCCTGTGACTTGCCAGCACATCTGTGGATGAGCTACTTAGAGCCATTGATTGAGTCATTGCTAGAAAAGCAAAAGAATTAGAAAAGTACTTGAATCAGAAGGAAAACTGTATAATTAAGGCATTGCCTATATGTATTCTGTTATGTAGACAACACGGAGCTGCCTGACTGGAGAATGTGCTGGTGTAGACATTAAATTGAAGATCACGCCATTAAGAAAGTCTGAGCTGATAGCTAGCCCTGTCTTGGGCTTTGCCACTTGATGACTAATGGTACACCAGCAGTACACTATGTACTTATGTTAAAAATCAGACTGTAACTGTTCTTGAAAGATTAACATACACATTAATCAAATTTTTTTTTCCTGATGTGCATCTCTAGAAATTCATGAAACTTTTTTATGCACCTTATGAAATTATAAAATGTGTATTATGAAAAGTGAGTCTTTGCTGCCATGTTTCTGACCAAAGGTATCTGATATTGTTGATTCTAGGCAATTTAGCATGTAGTTGCAATAAACTTCAAGATATTTGGGCGTGGTGAAGCTTTATACTCCCATCAGATTAAAAAAATTTTGCTTTCACTGTTATGTTTCACAATGAACTGAGGTTGGTTTTTTGATTAAAAGATGCTTACATCACCTTCTGTATATATTGTGCTATGTAATTATTTATAAAGTAGATAATATACATAAAAACTGCACACTGAGATTTAAAATTAGAAAATGTTGCTTCTAATTGCTGTGTAAAACTTAAATAAGCAGCATTAATCCACATGATTGTTTTCTTGCTAAAATTTTTATTTAATAGTTTTACTTTCTGAATAGCTATGATTCATGACTTAACCTAGGATCTGGTTGTGCAAAGATATGTATCAGTGAAGGCTTTCTTTACATGTGTGTCTCTTAGTATTTTCAGGATCCAAGTTTTTACTGACTTCTTGTTAAAATCCTTATTCTCCTTCACAAATGTTACAGTTTGCGTTGATAGGGTGAATTCATATGCAATGGAATAAATTTTTATTCTTGATATTTGCTTAAAATGGAGTGGAAGATATAAACACTTTTATAGTCAATAGAAAAACATCCTATTAATTACTCAATTTAGACTTTTAGGATGATTTATCTTTCAGTGAAAATTCAGGAGGGGAAAAGTAGCTACATTCTAACACTGCTAATAATGTCACATATTTCATATATTCCACAAGTAGTACAAGTGAGAAATCACAAAAGCTGTAGTTTGATTACATTTTTGGGGTTTGCTTTTCCTTTTCAGTCGGTGGTGAAGACTGGGCGATTGCTGATTAGCCATGAGGCTCCCTTGACAGGAGGATTTGCATCTGAAATCAGTTCCACAGTTCAGGTACAGAGGTTATTTGTATTTAAGTGTTCTGCATGGCTGAATATGTTTACCAATAGAAAGAATATTTATTACTACATTAGAAGTCGAGTTTTTAATATTTTTTTAAGTTGCTCTCTTTTACTTTTTTGTTAATTTTCAGTTTTGTGGATGCTTTATCTTTATTTTATTTTTTGTGTTACTTTATCTGAACAGCTGAGAAACCATGTACCTACCAGGCACTGTGCATAGCTTCTGCTAAGCTAGAAAATTTAACTTTCACTGAAAAGCAGGGAGGATGCACTGTCAGATGCAAAGGGAAAATCTTTATGTAGAGTCTGTTTTTAAGGTACTTTTTATACCTTTCTCATATTTTTATCCCCAAAGCTGCTTAAAAATACATTCTAGGAATGTTGGAATCAGACACAGAAAAAGCACCCAGGTCCAGTACAGTATAACGTGGTGTTAGACATAGTGTTCAGAGACCTCATTAGGAAAGCAATCTGTGAAAGTGGTTCATGTATAGTTGTGGTGATGCTCACGCATGTGTAGAGCTTGTATGCACAGAACAGCTTTGAAAGCTTGAGATGTACATCGGTATCAGTTGTGTGGAGCATTAGGCTTTAACTTTTTTGGAAGTCCTTTTGAGCTTTCTGACACATTTTATATCTGTACTTGCATACAGATTTTCCCCTTAACTTGATTTCTTTCCTATGCACATCAGTGATACTGGTTTATAGAAACATCTCAACTAATTGTGTCCATCACCATCTGATTACTATTTTCCAATTATTCTATTCTTAGAGTAGTTAAATTATAGGACTAGAGAGAAATGGGATTCTAAAATTCACAAAATATAAACCATACAGGCAGTAGTTAAAGCTTGGGAATTAGCCTTTTTGTAGGAAGGAATAGAGTTAATTGTTCTGGGAATGTAATTTTGAATTAAATATGCATAAGGAGTCGGAAAACTGTGTTTCTTGATCTTTCTTTACATGTGTGTCTCTTAGTATTTTCAGGATCCAAGTTTTTACTGACTTCTTGTTAAAATCCTTATTCTCCTTCACAAATGTTACAGTTTGCGTTGATAGGGTGAATTCATATGCAATGGAATAAATTTTTATTCTTGATATTTGCTTAAAATGGAGTGGAAGATATAAACACTTTTATAGTCAATAGAAAAACATCCTATTAATTACTCAATTTAGACTTTTAGGATGATTTATCTTTCAGTGAAAATTCAGGAGGGGAAAAGTAGCTACATTCTAACACTGCTAATAATGTCACATATTTCATATATTCCACAAGTAGTACAAGTGAGAAATCACAAAAGCTGTAGTTTGATTACATTTTTGGGGTTTGCTTTTCCTTTTCAGTCGGTGGTGAAGACTGGGCGATTGCTGATTAGCCATGAGGCTCCCTTGACAGGAGGATTTGCATCTGAAATCAGTTCCACAGTTCAGGTACAGAGGTTATTTGTATTTAAGTGTTCTGCATGGCTGAATATGTTTACCAATAGAAAGAATATTTATTACTACATTAGAAGTCGAGTTTTTAATATTTTTTTAAGTTGCTCTCTTTTACTTTTTTGTTAATTTTCAGTTTTGTGGATGCTTTATCTTTATTTTATTTTTTGTGTTACTTTATCTGAACAGCTGAGAAACCATGTACCTACCAGGCACTGTGCATAGCTTCTGCTAAGCTAGAAAATTTAACTTTCACTGAAAAGCAGGGAGGATGCACTGTCAGATGCAAAGGGAAAATCTTTATGTAGAGTCTGTTTTTAAGGTACTTTTTATACCTTTCTCATATTTTTATCCCCAAAGCTGCTTAAAAATACATTCTAGGAATGTTGGAATCAGACACAGAAAAAGCACCCAGGTCCAGTACAGTATAACGTGGTGTTAGACATAGTGTTCAGAGACCTCATTAGGAAAGCAATCTGTGAAAGTGGTTCATGTATAGTTGTGGTGATGCTCACGCATGTGTAGAGCTTGTATGCACAGAACAGCTTTGAAAGCTTGAGACGTACATCGGTATCAGTTGTGTGGAGCATTAGGCTTTAACTTTTTTGGAAGTCCTTTTGAGCTTTCTGACACGTTTTATATCTGTACTTGCATACAGATTTTCCCCTTAACTTGATTTCTTTCCTATGCACATCAGTGATACTGGTTTATAGAAACATCTCAACTAATTGTGTCCATCACCATCTGATTACTATTTTCCAATTATTCTATTCTTAGAGTAGTTAAATTATAGGACTAGAGAGAAATGGGATTCTAAAATTCACAAAATATAAACCATACAGGCAGTAGTTAAAGCTTGGGAATTAGCCTTTTTGTAGGAAGGAATAGAGTTAATTGTTCTGGGAATGTAATTTTGAATTAAATATGCATAAGGAGTCGGAAAACTGTGTTTCTTGATCTTTGGTTTCTTGATCTGTGTGATACAACTTCTTTTAAAGAGTAATTGTTTTAATTTTAATATAATTATATGGTCATTCATTTTTTCTACCAAGATTTTGTCTCCATTAAGAACCAAATATTTATCATCCTTCTAAGTAATTAGTATTTGACCTCCCTTCTTTTCTAGGTAGCCTCTTTGATTAAAATAAGTCTAGTAAAGTCATAAGGTACTGCCAACCGTGACTGTTGAAGGTGATGATTTTTCTTAAATTCTTATGAAAATGTGAAATAAACTCAACCAAAAGAGCCTGTCTTTTAGTGTCTTGTTTTATTATTAACACTTAAGGAGAAAACTATTCTAAGCTGTGCAGCAATCTCATAATTTACTGGCATAACAAAGGAAAGCATATGTGTTGGAGAAAAAAGTGAGTTGAAAAGAAAAAAAGCTTATCAGTAAATATTATTGGAAGAGCATGGGATGCTCAATATGTTGCTGAAACTACAAAATGAGTCTTTAATCTCCTCAGACCTCCACTAAGAAAGCTACTTACCTGATTTATCCATCTTACATATCAGATGTATCTTGCCAAATATCACTTACTTAGAAAACAAAGTTTAAAATGCTTTAATAAAGGGCTATTTATTTCTGTCATTATTGAAAGCAAATATTTGTTTCATGATAGTATCGTAGAATCAATAGTTTGGTTGGATTGGAAGGCACCTCTAAAGGTCACCTAGTCCAACCCCCCTGCAATCAGCAGGGACATCTTCAACTAGAGCAGGTTGCTCAGAGCCCCGTTCAACCTGACCATGAAGGTTTCCAGGGATGGGGCATCCACCACCTCTCTGGGCAACCTGTGCCAGTGCCTCACCACCCTCAGCATAAGAAATTTCTTCCTTCTATCTAGTCTCAATCTACCCCGCTTTAGTTTAAAGCCATTCCCCCTTGTCCTGTTGCAACAGGCCCTGCTAAAGAGTTTGCCTCCATCTTTCTTATAAGCCCCCTTTAAGTACTGGAAGGCTGCAATAAGGTCTCCCCGAAGCCTTCTCTTCTCCAGGCTGAACAACCCCAACTCTCTCAGCCTTTCTTCA